AAAGCCTGTGAGCGGCCATCTAAGATACTCCACTGGTCTCATCCCTTCGGGAGCAAGGGAGAATGAAGAGAACAGGATACAAGGAAAAAATTAGTCCAAAAGACTAATGGACCAAGGCCTCCACCAGAATGAGTCCAGTACAGCTAGATGGTCCCCGGCTACCACCACTGACTGCTTTGACCGGGATCACAACAGAGGTTCCTAGACAGAGCTGGAGAAGGATGTAGGACAAAATTATAACACACACACAAAAAGACCAGATTTACTGGCCTAAAGGAGACTGGAGAAATCCCTTGAGTATGGCCCCCAGATACCCTTTTAGCTCAGTGGTGAAGTCACTTCTGAGATTCACGGTTTGGCCAGGGATTGGACAGCCCCATAAAACAAAACAGGACTGATGAGGCACGGCAGTCCAGGGACAAGGACTAGAAGGCCAAAGGGGACAGGTAAACTGGTGATAGGGAATCCAAGGTTGAGTAAAGACAGTGTTGACACGAAGTGGGGCTGTTAACCATTGTCATAGGGCAATATGTGTACTAACTGTTTAATGAGAAACTATTTTGTTCTGTAAACCTTCATCTAAAGTTAGAGTAGCAACACAACTGGAAGAACATAATCGATGTCACTGAACTGTACATGTAGAAATTTTTGAAATGGTGTATCTTTGGCTATGTATATTTTCACCAAAAAAAAAAAAAAGGTCGAGAAGAGAGAGGGTTGACATGTCGTGGGGTTGTTAACCAATGTCATAAAATAATGTGTACTACTGTTTAATGAGAAACTATTTCTTCTGTAAACTTTCACCTGAAGTACAATAAAAAAAAATAAAAATAAAGTGTTAACAAAGGATAGTTTCATAAAAGTGGTATTATGTCCATATTGATCCCTGGTTATGAAGTACAGGAGAGGCTCTGCTTTGTAACTTCATTTTCATGCTGCCCACACCCCCACCTTCCTAGGTACTGTGATCCTGAAAGTATGTTGAAAATATATTACAAAATTCCTAATCCAGATATTTCCTGGTGCTGCCTTTCTTGGGTTTAGGAAGGGAAGAACCTTTGCAGGAGTAGGAGGTGGCTGCTGGTTCAGCCATCCATCCACTAAACCAAAAACCAAACGAAACCTGTTGCCGTCGAGTTGATTCTGACTCATAGCCACCCTATAGGACAGAGTAGAATTGCCCCATAGGGTTTCCAACGAGCAGCTGGTGGATTTGAACTGCCCACAGTTTTGGTTAACAGCCTGAACTCTTAACCACTACGCTACCACTGGACTGAGGGAAATTAATCTAGATTTCTCCCCTTCCCATGGGTGGGCCGCTAACTTCCTACCCTCACTTCTCACGTCTCTGTAGGGACCAGCACGGATGATCAAACTGTCCCTAAATCTGAAACTTTGTTGGTAGGACTGAAAAGTACCCAAAGCAGGGGTGGGGAAATGACTGTTTTCCCCACAACTGTAGCCCGAAGAAAACTTGGAACGCAAGTCAGGCCTAGCCCTCCTCAATGATGGCAACTAACAGGAAAATGTCATCTTTCTTGACATGTGTGAAAAAGCATCATGCCGCATTAAAAAGGCTGCATGTCTCGGGAAACATCTAGGTCAATTGGTATAACATAGTTCATAAAGAAAATGTTCTACATCCTACTTGGGTGAGTAGCATGTGGGGTCTTAAAAGCTTACAAGAGGCTATCTAAGATAATTCTATTGGTTCCATCACATCCAGAGCAAAGGAGAATGAAGAAAACCAAACACAGAAGGAAAATATTAGTCCAAAGGACTAATGGACTACATGAACTACAGCCTTCACCAGCCTGAGCTCAAAAGAACTAGTTGGTGCCAGGCTACCACCACCAAGCACTCTGATAGGGATCACAATAGAAAGTCTGGACAGAGCAGGAGAAAAATGTAGAAAAAAATTCAAATTCACAAAAAAAGACCAGACTTACCGGTCTGACAGAGACTAGAGGAACCCCCAAGACTATGGCCCCCAGACACCCTGCTAACTCAGAACTGAAGCCACTCTCATAGTCCACCTTTCAGCCAAAGGTTAGACAGGCCTATAAAACAAACAATAATGGGCAACACCTGCCCACAAGCAACGGCAAGAAGTCAGAAGGGACTGGTAAACAGGATGAATGGAAACAGAGAACTCAGGGTGGAAAGGGGGAGAGTGCTGACACATTGAGGGATTGTGACCAATGTCACAGAACAATTTGTGTATAAATTTCTGAAAAAGAAACTAATTTACGCTGTAAACTTTCACTTAAAGCACAGTAAAATTATTTTTTAAAAGGCTGAAAGAAAGTGTCAATGCATAGCAGATGAAAGCAAAAAGTTGTATGAAAATTGAAAGAATACAAGTCAATGATCATCAAAATTTTACTTTTCTTTCATTGTTTTCCTCTTCCTTTTCTTTCCCCTTTTCTTATTTCTATTTTCTATATGAAAGTGAGTTTGTGTCCTACATAAGCAATCAATTTCAGTATTAGTTATGAGTAGTAGTTTTGGGGGGATAGTTTTCACCACAAAATGGAGACTGTAGCTGCCCTTGGACATTTAAAGACCCAAAACAGAGAAAAAGAATAAATAGGGAGAGTATTAGAGAATGCTAGTACCTTTTCTTCTAGCGGGAAAAAATAGAGTATGGCTTCATAAAGTTAAAGCCCCAGAGCTTACAGCTGACTTCAAAAAATTAGTTTTCACCCATGGAATCAAAATCATAACTACCTCAACTCTGTTCTTCTCACTCACATGCACATCACACACATATTAAGTCAGGACCCACTTCTAAAGGGAAACTAGTGTCTTGCTTCACATTAGGAGCATGAGCCCTGGAGTCAGAACAAACTAGGCTCGGTCCCTAACTCTGCCACTACACCAGTGAATTGATGAGCCTTTCTAAACTTCAGTTTCCTCATCTAGAAAGAGAAGAGAATAATAGATCCCACCTCAGAGTGGTGGGGATTGTTTTAGGTAATGCATTCAAACACTCAGCATAGTACTTGGTATGTTAATTGCTAGTTCTCATTAAATGCCGGCCATTACACATATTTATATAATTATTTCTAATAAGAAAGTAAACAGAGTCATAGCAATGACGTTTATTTAAGATTATTTGGGAGGCTGACGAGGAAGAAGGGTTGGTGAAGATGTGTGGGTGCCTCTTTAAATATTTTTCTTTACATTTTCAAGAATAATTCTATTCTATTAAAATACTTCTGATTCTTTTTATTCCCATAAAAGGGCAACAAATCAGATTACACTCTTGACTAAGGATGTCGGAAGCAGTTGGAGTATGATGTAAGTCATCTTGAGCAGTAACCGTACCAACCGCCCACTTCTGTCAGTCAGCATCTGCAGACACCCTTGTACAGCTGCCATCCCTAGCTCCCAGCATTGTGTGGTGGGGCTCAAAAAACAAGGCAGCATCTGTAGTCACAATGTGGAAACAAAGTACTATTCGGGCCCTTTTTCAACCAGGGTGGGCATGTATGCCTCTCCGTGTTCTTCATTCTTAGAGCCTCTTCTTTCCTCCACTTTCTTGCAGGCTCTTATCTCCGTCCTCAGGCACTCTCTTTCATCTCTCTCCTTTCTGCTCTCAGGTCCCTGAAAGAGAAGAATCAGAAAACGATAGTTCATGAGTAACTTCATGGATAAGAATCAGCATGAATTCCATCCCAAAAATGTGGAGATTGATTCAGTCCCCACTTTCCCACATCTCAGTCATTTCTGACACCAGCCACCTCCACAGTACTCTATCTCTCTGACCCTAGCCACCCAGAGCTAGGACAGGTTAAAAGGACATCATCCTTCAGACTGCCAAATAGGCAGACACTGGCCACAAGTTTGGGAGTCCACATGACACCTTCACTTTCACTTGCTGGCTTGTCCTTACTCCAAGGGTTTTTTCCCAGGAATCAAGGACAAAGTTCATCTAACTTGCCCTTTGCATCAAGTCAATTCCGACTCATAGTGACCCTATAGGACAGAGTAGAACTGCCCCATAGTGTTTCCAAAAAGCGTCTGGTGGATTTGAACTGCTGACCTTTTGGTTAGCAGCCAAGCTCTTAACCACTTTGCCATCATCTTACCTTGGGTAAAGCTAAATTCTTTACCCCATAGGCAGAAACGCACCGACGGTTGACAAAGCTCCACATTTCTCCAATCATATATGAAGAAAGTCCTGCTTGCTCAGCAGATTCCCACTTCTTAAGTTTCTGGTAATAAATTAGCATTAAATCTAAGGGTGTTGCTAAAGGTTTTAGTCATAAAGAAAAGGAAGAGAGGTGCTTGAGCATCAGCAGACAGTCTATGTGAGGAAACTCACTGACGAATGTGATTTCACAGCATGATAACATTAATACTTTCCTGGTGCTTTTTGAAAAGAAAAGTGGCAAGTGAGATCACATATGGAATGACTCTAACTCCCTGGTGTCCACTCCCTTAAATTGCATTCATAATGAGGTGTACATTAGATTTTAATACAAGGACTGTGTGAAGAATGACATTGAGGAATGACCAAAACCAAAAAAAACCAAACCCACTGCTGTTGAGTAGATTCCAACTCATAGCGACCCTATAGGACAGAGTAGAACTGCCCCATAGGGTTTCCAAGGCTGTAATCTTTTATGGAAGCAGACTGCCAAATCATTCTCCCACAGAATGGCTGGTGAGTTCGAACCACCAACCTGTCAGCAGCTGAGTACTTTAACCACTGTGCTATTAACCAGATTAACATTCCCCAGTTGGTTGCCCAGATAGTCACATTTTCCATTTACTTATGGAGCACATACTATTTGAGGGTCAGGTGACACAGCACTAAAGAAGAGAAATCCTGCTTTTTAGATATGACACCTTGGTGGAAGGAAAGAGACAATCAATAAATAAACCTAAAAAGAAACAAGAAAATAACAGAGAGTGATAGGTGCTATGATAACTATTGTTGTTGTTGTTAGTTGCTGTTGAGTCAGTTACAACTCATGAGGACCCCATGTGTGCAGAGTAGAAGTGTTCCATAGGGTTTTCAAGGCTGTGACCTTTTGGAAGACGATCACCAAGCCTGTCTCCCAAGGCACCCCTGGGTGTGTTCAACTGCCAACCTTTGAGCAGTGTTTGCACCACCCAGGGTCTTCATGATAACTATAAACAGGATGACATAATAGGGAATTATTTGGGGGGCAGGAGATGCTCCTTTAGTTTCAATGGTCCGGCAGTGCCTTTCCGAGGAATTATTTAAGTGCTGACAAAAGAATGGCTTTGATAAATGTGATGATGGTATCCATTCATGCTTCTTTGTTTTTAAAATAAATAAGTAAAATCATCAGTTTTTCACCATTTAAACGTTGAGTATCAGCAGATAGTCTACGTGAGGAAACCCAACCTGCACGTGACTCTTTGCCTCTGACAAATAGGTAAAATCACTCTTTTTTTCCCCCTCTTAAACATTAGAGAATCCCTAAGTGTCTATTAAGTGAGCATATGCAATGGTGAGTGGTGATCGAGGTTATAACTTAGCCCTACAAGTTGAGTTATGAAGGATTCTGGCTACTGGGGTAAATTTAAGTACTCTAGAGTGTTAAATTGTTTTCTTACCTAGATTGTTTCTTTTCTATTCATAATGGTCCACTGGTTAAAGTCAGAAAGCAAAATGAAAAATGAAGCTGAGCTACATGCTAAAAAACCAAAACCAAACCTGTTGCCATGGAGTTGATTCTGACTCATAGTGACCTGATAGAACAGAGTAGAACTGCCCCACAGAGTTTTCAAGGAGCAGCTGGTGGATTCAAACTGACAACCTTTTGGTTAGCAGCCAACTTCTTAACTACTGTGCAACCAAGGCCCTGAGCTACACATTAAGATGAACATAAAAATTGCACTAGCTCTCTAAGTATGTCTCCAGATAATTTTTATCAGATCCATAAGTTGTATTTATCTGATAAAAATTCATGTTTGGCAGTCATGTTGTGTCTAATACTTACTAAAAAACAATGTAAAAAAAGAGAAAATATAGTGATTATTATTTCCAATTTGGCTTTTCCTTTGTTAAGAATAAAGACTATCTAAGAACAGCAGAAGAGGCCCACTGCCACCAAAAGAAAGAAAATAATAAAGACCAGAGTAGAAATAAATGAAATAGAGAATAGAAAAACAATAGAAAGAATCAACAAAATCAAAAGTTGGTTCTCTGAAAAGATCAACAAAATTGACAAACCACGGGCCAAACTGACAAAAGAAAAATAGGAGAGGACCCAAATAACCCAAATAAGAAATGAAATGGAAGACATTACAACAGACCCAACTGAAATAAAAAAGATCATAACAGAGTACTATGAAAAACTATACTCCAACAAATTTGAAAACCCAGAGGAAATGGGCAAATGTCTAGAAACACACTACCTACCCAAACTAACACAGAATGATGTTGAAAATCTGAATAGACCCCTAACAAGAGAAGAGACTGAAAAGATAATCTTAAACCACCACCACCCCGAGAAAAAAAAAGCCATGGCCCAGATGGTTTCACTGGAGAATTCTACCAAACATTCAGAGAAGCGCTTATACCAGTACTACTCAAACTATTTTAGAACCTAGAAAAGGAAGGGATACTTCTGAATTCATTCTATGAAGCCAGCATAACCCTGACACCAAAACCAGGCAAAGACACCACAAAAAAGAAAATTATAGACCAATATCTCTCATGAATATAGATGCAAAAATTTTCAACAAAATTCTAGCCAACAGAATTCAGCATTATGTCAAAAAAATAATACACCATGACCAAGTGGGATTCATACCAGTTATGCAAGGATGGTTTAACATTAGAAAATCAATCAACATAATCCACCATATAAATAAAAGAAAAGAATCACATGATCATCTCAATCGACACAGAAAAAGCATTTGACAAAGTCCAACATCCATTCTTGATAAAAACTCTCAATAAAATAGGTATACAAGGGAAATTCCTCAACATAATAAAGGGCATCTATACAAAACCAACAGTCAACATCATTCTTAATGGAGAGAGGCTGAAAACATTCCCCCTGAGACTAGGAACAAGACTAGGAACAAGACAATTGTGCTGGAAATCCTAGCTAGAGCAATAAGGCAAGAAAAAGAAACAAAGGGCATCTATTTTCACCAAAAAAAAAAAGGTCAAGAAGGGAGATTGTTGACATGTCATGGTGTTGTTAACCAATGTCATAAAACAATATGTGTACTGACTGTTTAATTAGAAACTATTTGTTCTGTAAACCTTCACCTAAAGTAAAATAAAAATAAATAAATAATGGGTATCCAAATTGGTAATGAAGAAGTAAAACTGTCCCTATTTGCAGATGATATGATGCTATACGTAGAAAACTCAAAAGACTCCACAAGAAAACTACTGGAACTAATAGAAAGATTCAGCAGAGTAGCAAGATACAAGATAAACATACAAAAATCAGTTGGATTCCTATACACCAACAAAGAGAACGATGAAAAGGAAATCAGGAAAACAATACCATTTTTAATAGCCCCTAAAAAAATAAAATACTTAAGAATAAATTTAACCAGGGATGTAAAAGACCTATACAAAGAAAACTACAAAACACTACTCCATGAAACCAAAAGAGATCTAAGTAAATGGAAAAATATACCATGCTTATGGATAGGTAGACTCAACATTGTGAAAATGTCAATTCTACCCAAAGCAATCTACAAATATAATGCAATCCCAATCCAAATACCAATAGTATTCTTTAAAGAGATGGAAAAACCAATGGTTAACTTTATATGGAAAAGGAAGTGGCCTCAGATAAGTAAAGCAATACTGAAGGAGAATAAAGTAGGAGGATTCATACTACCTGATCCCAGAAGCTACTATACAGCTATGTAGTCAAAACAACCTGGTACTGGTACAATGAAAAAAACATAGACCAATGGAACAGAATCAAGAACCTAGATGTAAATCCATCCACCTACAGTCACCTGATCTTTGACAAGGGCTCAAAGTCCATCAAATGGGGAAAAGATAGTCGTTTTAACAAATGATGCTGGCAAAACTGGATGTCCATCTGCAAAAAAATGAAACAGGATCCATACCTCACACCATACACAAAAACTAATTCAAAATAGATCAAAGACCTAAATATAAAACCAAAAACTATAAGGATTATAGAAGAAAAAATAGGATCATTTCTAGAGGCCCTAATGCATGGCATTACCAGGATATAAACCATAATGAACAATACACAAATTCCAGAAGATAAGCTAGATAACTGGGATTTTCTAAAAATTAAACACTTATACTCATCAAAAGACTTCACCAAAAGAGTAAAAAGAGAACCTACAGACTAGGAAAAAATTTTTGGCTATGGCAAATCCAATAAAGTTCTAATCTCTAAAATCTACAGGAAAATCCAACACCTCTACAACAAAAAGGCAAATAATCCAATTAAAAAATGGGCAAAGGAAATGAACAGACACTTCACCAAAAAAAGATATTCAGGAACTAACAAACATATGAGGAAATGCCAGTGATCACTAGCTATTAGAGAAATGCAAATTAAAACCTCAATGAGCTACCATCTCACCCTGGCATTACGGGCATGAATCAAAATAACAGAAAATAACAAATGTTGGAGAGGCTGCGGGGAGATTGGAACTCTTATGCACTCCTGGTGGGAATGCAAAATGGTACAACCACTTTGGAAAATGATATGGAGCTTCCTTAGAAAGCTAGAAATAGAAATACTATACGATCCAGCAATCCTACTCTTAGAAATATATCCTAGAGAAATAAGAATCATCACACGAATACACATATGCACACCCATGTTCACTGCAGCATTGTTCACAATAGCAAAAAGATGGACACAACCTAGATGCCCATCAGCAGAAGAATGGATAAACAAACTATGTACATACACACAATGGAGTACTATGGAATGCTAAAGAACAATTATGAATCTGTGAAGCCTCTCACAACATGGATGAATCTGGAGGGCGTTATGCTGAGTGAAATAAGTCAATCACGAAAGGACAAATATTATATGAGACCACTACTATAAAAAACTTATGAAAAGGTTTACACACAAAAAGAAACAATCTTTGATGGTTACAAGGGAGGGGAGGGGTGGGGATGGAAAAACACTAACTAGACAATAGATAAGTGGTAACTTTGGTGAAGAGTAAGACAGTACATAATACTGGGGAAGCCAGCACAACTTGTAGAAGGCAAGGTCATGGAAGCTCCGTAGACACATCCAAACTCCCTGAGGGACTGAATTGCTGGGCTGAGGCCTTGGGGACCATGGTCTCAGGGAGAATCTAGCTCAACTGGGATAACATCGTTTATAAAGAAAATGTTCTACATTCTACTTTGGTGAGTAGCATCTGGGGTCTTAAAAGCTTGTGAGCAGCCATCTAAGATACTCCACTGGTCTCACCCCATTGGGAGCAAGGGATAATGAAGAAAACTAAAGACACAAGGGAACGATTAGTCCAAAGGACTAATGGACCACAACTACCACAGCCTCCACTAGACTGAGTCCAGTACAACTAGATTGTGCCTGGCTATCACCACTGACTGCTCTGACAGGGATCACAATAGAGGGTCCTGAACAGAGCTGGAGATAAATGGAAACAAAATTCTAACTCACAAAAAGAGACTAGACTTACTGGCCTGAACAGAGACTGAAGAAACCCCGAGAGTATGGCCCCGGACACCGTTTTAGCTCAGTACTGAAGTCACTCCTGAGGTTCACCCTTCATCCAAAGATTAGGCCCATAAAACAAAATGAGACCAAAGGGGAACACCAGCCCAGGGGAAGCACTAGAAGGTAGGAGGGGAAAGGAAAGCTGGTGATAGGGAACCCCAGGTTGAGAAGGGAGACTATTGACACATCATAGGGTTGTAACCAATGTCACAAAACAATATGTGTACTAATTGTTTAATGAGAAGCTAGCTTGTTCTGTAAGCCTTCATCTAAAGTACAATAATAATAATAAAAAGAATAAAGACTATCTGAGAAATGCTTGTAAATAATGATCTAAAATATTTTTTCTTATCTCATCACTTAGAAACAAGATGTGGACATTATCAAGAAAAGCCAATTGAGTTTTTAAATATGCAAATGAAAAAATTTAATGTTGTTGGTCATGATCAGGTCACACAAGTAGTCTCTAACTCTTTTTAATGCTAAAATATGTAAAATTTCAATCTACATCTTAGTATGCATTTGGTCCCCAAACATATATACCACCCTTTTTAATGTAGTTAGCTTTTAGAAAGTGGGTCAATTGTTAAATAGGAAAAAGTAAAAAAAGCATTTATATACGTTCTGAATTTTTTAGTTTTCATTAAGATGAATTTTTAATATACTCTTTAAAAACTGATATAAAATAAAATATTTAACTTAAAATTACTTATCATATAGTATGCAAAAAATTTAATGATTTTATACATTTCCAGCTGATTTCTAGATATTACATATAACTCTAAATAGAGTTCTGGAGTCAAAAAGGTTGAACATGCTGTCTTGGTTATCTTTGCACTCAAAAGGAAGAACATGGAAAATTAATAGAACAAGTATATTTTGTGTTTTAGGGATAACATGATGACTATCTCTTTAAATAAGCAAACTTTCACATTTACACACTTACAGGGCTTATAATATCAAACGAATTTCATATAAGCAACTTACACAGGATTATGAATTGTTTATGAAATTTTTTTGTGAGGCCACCAGAATCAATAACAAACTGTTCAGATTAAAATTTTTTAAAATATTTTTAGACCCTACTTTGTTCCAAAAAGGATTTAAGTCTCCTACATTGGTATACACTTCAACACGTCAGTTTTAAAACAGTTCTTTCACTTCTGTTTTAATTCTGCTAAAGGTTGATAATTTGAATCATGAGGAAATATCAGGTAAACTCAAATTAAGGGCCATTCTGAAAAATAGCTGGCTCATACTCTTCAAAAACAAAAATTCAATGAAAAACAAGGAAAGACTGAGGAATTGCTCCAAATTAAAATAGACTAAAGAGACATGAAAACTGGATGTGACACCTGATCTGAAATTTCTCTATGAAGAATATTATTGAGACAACTGACAAAATATCAATAAGGTCTACAGGTTAGATAATAGTATTGTATCAGTGTTAATTTCCTGAGTTTAATGATTGGTTATGTAAGAGAATGTCTTGTGTCCTTGTTTCGGGATAGGAGAGAGAGACAGAGAGGAGGAGAGAGAGCATGCACAGATGTGATAACACGTTGTTATGTATTGAATTTTGTCCCCCAAAATTTATGTTGGAATCCTAATCCCTATACCTATGGATGTAATCCCATTTGAGAATAGGGTTTTCTTTGTTATATTAATGGGGCCGTATCAGTGTAGAATGTGTCCTAAACCTAATCGCTTCTGAGTTAGAAAAAGAGTAGATTGGACACAGAAGCAAGCACAGACTTGAGAAGACAGATGCCATGTGAGGACTGTCTACGAGCCAAGGAACGAAGGAATGCCTGAGCTACAGACAAGGAAGAATCGACACAGCCAAAACCCTGATTTGGACTTTCAGCCTCCAGAACTTCGAGAAAACAAATTTCTCATTAAAATCACCCATTTGTGGCATTTGTGTTACAGCAGCACTAGGTAACTAAGACACATGTTAACATTTGGGGGAATCCTAGTGAATGGTGTGTGGAAATTCTTTGTACTATTCTTGCAACATTTCTTGAAGTCTGAACCATGTCAAAATAAGCAGCAAAAAGAAAAGACAGAATAGGAACTCTTGATAAGAGTGACAGCTGTTCACTATTTTTCCTTCCTTAGTCCTCTTATGAGGGGTGGAGAGAGCAGCCTACTGAAAGGAAATCATATGCACACAGGGCCACTCTGAGCAAAAATGAGGTGCCACCTGTGAGGCAAAGATGCATAGTGATAGGGCCAACAGCCGTCATTGCTAGGTAAGGCATTGTGCCCAGATGGACAGGTATGTAGAAAACACCTGAGTGTCTTCATCTGTGCATTCACAGAGTCTAGCTCAAGAACCAGGAGTCAGTACACCTAAGTTTAATTATTTGCTCTGCCTATTACATGACAGCAGGATATTATTATTCCTATTTTGCAAAACAAAGCAAAAAGAACCCCAGAAACCAACCAAAAAAAAAAAAGTATCTTGCTCAAGGCCACCCAGTAAGCATGTTGCAGAGTTGAAAAGCTACCCACAGATTATTTTATCTCTAAGTTATTACTTTATGTATCAAGTTTGTTATCAGTGGAGTTTCTAGTCTTCCTCCTCATTCATGCCTATCTCACTTCATGCTTTACTCAGACTTCCACAAGGTCATATGAACGTGTGGACCACTCCTACTCCTGGACACTCATTAGATAATGTCCAGAGACTTCCCAGAGAGTTCCTTCTGTATGCTTTTTAAAGGTACAGGGAAAGAAAATATAATCATAAACTATTTGCTACTGGAGTAAATATCAAAGGAGAAGAGCAGTAGGGGAAGTTTTTCTCTTCTTTAAATACTCGAAAAAGAATAAGACACTATTATTCATAGTAAGAGTGAAGAAAGCAGGCTCAAAGAACTAGAGGACCTCAGTAACAAAAACATTACTTGTAAAGTCCTCCAGGAATTCTTCCTACACCAGATGTCTTCAATTAAAAAAAGAATTATGTGCATCTGGGCTATCTTAAAAGGGGTGTGATTTTTCAAAGATCTCATCACCAAGAAGTGGTAAACGAGAAGAATCTGTTCCCCTCAAACTTGGGCAGCATGAATCCTTTGGATTTCCTTTTCTAAAATGGTTTAAATGTTTAATAGTTCTATTACATACCAAAGAGACAGAGCGTTTGGTTCTAAAGCATAGTTGCTGTTCATAGGACTCCAAAAATCCCTGAATTTTTGAATAGGATCTTCCTTTTGATTCCAGTGGCTCCTTCAATGATCCACCTCCTGAGCATTTTCTGTAATTCCTCATGTGCGTTCGGCACCAGAATTCCTGGTCCTCTTGAGAATGCCTTCTAGGATGGTGGTCAGATGATGTAATTTTGGGAAGTTCAGGAAACTGGCAATAAAGAATGAAAAATTTTGCAGTTTAAAGAGATTGTATAGTATTAGCACAGAAACAGAATGTCCATAAACTACTAACTAAACAAATCTTATATTGAACTGAAAGTTTACCTTCTTAATCAGTAAGGCCTTTCTCCTATAATGAAGCAGTAAAACATTTAGCAGAATAACTCAATGTGTGTTACTCTGTCATTATAGCAATGTATGAAGCTTTCCAAATCTCAAATCAATATTTAAAAATAAATTCTAAAATAACTTAAAAATTTCTGAATAAAAAAGAAACCATAAATATTTAGGAAATAATACAAGGTGGATATTTACGTGGTTCCTGTATAGAGAAGGAATTTCTGAGCAAAAGAGCAATGGAATAAGTCATGTGGAAAAAATTAATTTGATTATATGAAAATAAAGCTGATGTGCACCAAAAGCGACACAAAATTAAAAGGCAGACAAAATAAACTAAAAATACATGTGCTACATATTACTAATATTTAATAAATATCCTGAAAATAAACAAGTATATGTCACACACACACAGACATAGAGATCATGTAATACAATAACATCAATGCTAAAATCCCAATTGGAAAATGATCAAAGGGCAAACAGTTCAGAGAAACCAAACTTCTTGCAAGAATTGTGACACTTGCTCTCTCAATTTCTCTCACACCCCAACCCACTCCAATCTAGCTTTTACACCCACAACTACTTGTGATTAGGATATTGGTGTCCATCTTACCAAATTCTGTGGATGCTTTTTTGTTTTTATCTTGCTTATTAGGTAATGTTATAGATTGAATTATGTCTCTCAAAAAGATATACTGAAGTCCTATCCCCCAGTATGAGTAAATGAGACTTTGTTTGGAAATAGGGTCTTTGAAGATGTTATCAGTTAGGTTAACAAGAAGTCATCCTGGAGCAGAGTGGGTCCTGATCTAATATGAGTGGTGTGCTTATAAAAAGAGGAGAAGAGACACAGACAGTTACAGAGGGAAGATGTCCATGTGAATACAGAGGTGGAAATTGGAGTAATACATCTACAAGGCAAGGAACACCAGGGATTTTCAGGAGCCGCCAAGAGCTAGGAAGAAGAAAGGAAGAATCTTCCCCGAGAGCCTTCAGAGAAAGCATGGCCTTGCTGACACCTTCATTTCAGAATTCTAGCCTCCAGAACTCTGAAACTGTCAAGACCTGAATCATCAGCCAGAAACTAGATAAACAGAGGAGAGGTTAAGAAGAAACTCCTTGGAGCCTACAACACTCCATGCCTAGGGCACTTGGATCTTTCTCCTCAGGGCCAATTCAAGCTGAAGTAGCCAACCCAAGTCCATCTAAACACATGCCACTGAGATCATAACCCCAAATGACATTAAATTCCTTCTTCTATAGTAATATTTTCTCCACTAGTTCTCCACTGCCAGTGATCAACATTCTTGGTATGAACATATGCCATTTGCCAATCTTCAATATAAAATTACAATAACCGACTATCTTCTCATTGTAATATGAAAGAGAAGGGGAAACTAGAGACAATGAGAGAAAGGCAAAATGAGAGACTTTGGAACCTTTGCAGTAATTAATTGAAAACATTCAGAAAAATTTTTTTTTTCAAGTTTCAGCTCTTCTGAAATAATAATAATAATAATAGAGAGAGCACTTAACTAGGTACCAGATGCTGTCCTAAGCATTCATATACTCTACTGACTGAATCTTCACACTACCCTTGTAAGACATTATTACCCTCAATCCCGTGTACACATGGGGCACTGAGGCAGACAGAGGTGAAGTAACTAGCTCAAAGTTATGCAGCTAGTAAATGAAGGACACTGGAGTCTAGCTCCAGAGCCCTTGCTCTTAACCACTTCACTTTGCTGGCTTTCTAGCAAAACCTCTATCTAGTAGAGGAGAGAAAACAAGTGCATAGAACATTATGCTGAAAGTTTCCCTACAGAGTTGTCACTGATGCCTTAAATTCTATCATTAGCTTTATTCTTTTGGATCAAGGCATTGTCCCTTATTGAAATTAAATACAAATATAATCTGAAATATAAGAAGCTACTGTCAACCATGAAACTTTAGGGCAAAAAGTCCCAAAGCAGGGGCATCCCCCCCTCTCTCCAGGTTTGTGAGATCTCCCCAAGGGGGCCATACCCCACCCCACCCACCCCCATAATGAGTACTGTAATAATGAGAGCATCCAGCCACCCTCAGGTCAATCAGGGATAAGAATAAAAATAAAAAATATCTTCCACTGCTTTAAATTGAGGCTATGGAGAGAGAATTTAGAGAAAAAGGTGATTTTTTTTCTAAGTAGCCTTAAGTGTAGAGGCTTACTTTGTATCCTCTCAAATCATATCATGTAGGCAGCACATATGGTGTTATCATGGAGCATAGAAGAAGATCCACTTAGAGCTAGCCAAGTCCTCATCAGTGAACTCAGATTCTTCCTCAAAGAATTCACTAGGCCTGCTCTACATAGAACAATAATAAGAGAACCATGTTAAGCTGAAGGAGAAGATGACTAGAAAGCTGAACAGAATTAAAAATGAACTTCCACTGAGCAGAAGAAACAAGTGATATGGAAACTGTTTTACTTCAGTTCTGTACCTTTCAGTTTACTAGTCATGTGATGGCAGAGAGAGAAGGCTGATCAGCTCAATAATGAGAGAGGCTTCATATTACTTTATCATTTTTTCACCAAGGACATCAGGACAGTAAAGTCTGATTTCTTTATTCACTTAAAATCAGCAACCTCAGATTACAATGAGTCTGGCCAAAAAGTAGTGTTCTCTGTGAAAGACTGAGCTGTACCCTTTGCCATACCTTGTTCTTTCCAGCCAAATTTGTATTTTCCACTATACCGAAAGTTCCATGAGCATGGGGGCTGTGTATGTCCTCCTTTATGCTGTATCCTAGTACCTTGAACAGTGACTGGCACACTGTAGGTGTTCAACAAGTATGTTAAATGAATCAGCGCTCCATTACTATGGTTTCACATGAATCATGAAGCTGATAAAGCCGTATTAGAAACTGCATTCAAAATAGGCAAGAAGGAGGAAGCCATTCTCTCCTCGGACATGTAGTATTGACGGATGTAGATTACTGATAGTTGAGAGGAAAGAGCCTTAGACTGGAGCAGTGGGGAGAGAAGAAAAAAGATAAGAGCATGCTTTTCTTTTTAAGTTCTTTTCTTTGAGCTCAAACCAAAACACACAGAAATTGAAACCTAATTGTTCTCATATCTCTAAAGAGAGAAAAATCTGAGCACATTTTAGAGAGGAAAAATTAAGTATCCAACTACAGATTTACAATTATACAGCGTTGTGTAAGTAGAGAATGAAGACTCAAACTCCCTAACTACCTTCCAGGACTCTACCTAATACCTCTTCTGGATCTCGTGATGGGTGGTCTGTGCTTGTTCTTTTTCTGTTCAATTGGGTCATAATTTTTATTCCACGTTTTGTTCCCTAAATAAACATATGCTTTCTGCATGTCTTTCTGATAATTACGGAATTAAGTGTTGACTCGGAGAATCTGAAAAGGTTCTGCAGAAAGGACAAGCAGCAAAGATGTCACATGGACACCATTTAGGAATGTTATCCAGAGCAAATTCTGCTATTTCTCAGTAGTTTCAGAAGAACATTGCAACTGAAAAGTGGATGTCTCTAAATAGAGTGAATTATCTCAGCTTAAAAAACCTGGTTGATGCTAAAATTTATTCAAGAAACTATATTTTGCAAATAATGATTCTCATTTTGTTTTCATACTTTCTGTGACTCCAAAGAGCTGTTGTGATAAGTAGAAAATCATGGTTTTTCTCCTTGTTTCTGCCTGGTTCTCACTATATGAAAACTAGGGGTGACAAAACTAGTCAGACTGGTTCACACACTATGAATACCTCACTTGGTGGAACATAAAAGATTAAAAGGAGACTGCAATGATCTGGTCTTTATTTTATACTAATAAAAAAAACCAAACACGTTGCCGTTGAGTCAATACCAACCCATGGAGACCCCAAGTGTCACAGAGCAGAACTGGTCTATTTTGTAACAGAACCAAGGAAAATTAGAGCTAGAAGTGTCCTCTGAGATCTTCCAGTCCACCCTCCTTCATGTTTCACTTAAGGAAACTGAAGCTCAAAGAGATGTTGAAACTTGCCCTTTGTCCTTGAATGTGTACTTGGTAACAGATCTATTTTCAAATATTTGTGTCTCAAAGAGGTCTCATTCCTCAAACTTGCTGACCTCTGGGAGCAAAAGAGGTTGCCTTACATACTTTGGAGCCCTGGTGGCACAGTGCTTAAGCATACTTAGCCTTAACCAAAAGGTCAGCTGTTCAAATCCACCAGCCACTCCTTGGAAACCCTATGGGGCAGTTCATCTCTGTCCTATAGGGTAGCTATGAGTTGGAATCGACTCGAAGACAACAAGTTTGGTTTTGGTTACATGCTTTAATTTATCTCACAGGCATTATGCACTATGGGTCCCTGGAGGTAAAATAAATTAACATTGCCCTAAAATTTACTTGTAGAGGGTCAGAGAAAACAAGGGAAACCCTCAATGAAATGGCTTGACACAACAGCTGCAACAATGGACTCAACCATACCAATGATCAGGAAGATTGCACAGGACTGGCAACATTTTGTTCTGTTATACCCAAGGTTGCCATGAGTCTGAGCCGACTCTACCGCACCTAACAGCAACAACGAAACTTACGTAAGCGTTCTGAGGTTGGCAGAAGCAGGGAGTTCGGGAACTGTTTTCGAGAGCCTGGAATTCTAAGTGGTAACTTGTGAAAAAGAAAGGTTGTCTTATCGCTGTGTAACTATGAAGCAGAGGACATGAGTATCTACTGTGGAGCCTTCTAGCAGCCACAGCTGAAGCAGAGAGAACTGCTGCCTGTACCTGCTGCCGAGTCCACACCTGGTCAGGCCCACTCATTCCCCTCTCCGAAGCTTTCCTGCTAGCACCTTGCTCCCTAGACACTGGGTCCTCTGCCTAGCCGTGGGAAAATAGTGCTGAAGGCAAAAGAATTTTTCATCCCTCCCCCATCAGGAAACCAAATAACAACAGAAAATAAAAAGCCTATTAAATTTATCGAAGGTAGTGATTTGTTAGGTGGAATCCCCGCTTCCCTAGAGGTCCACAAAATAGTTAAGCTAATTTTGGTATTTCAGAAAGTCTAATGGAAATCACATATTCATTCACAGCAATCATTATCACAGACTAATGATAACATCAAGGTTCTTTCTTTTGGCTTGAATTAATCACTCACGTGGTGCGAGCAGTTTGCCATCAGCTGCTAACCCAGAGGTTGGCAGTTCAAACCTACCCAGGGGCTCCACAGAAGAAAGGCCTGGCAAACTGCTTCCATAAAGATTACAACCAAGAACACCCTATGGAGCAGTTCACTCTGTAACACATAAGGTCGCCATGAGTCGGGGGTCGATCCAACAGCAGCTAACAACGCATCTCAGGCTTATCAGGAGTTCTGAATGGCAGTTAAAGATATCTTACAACCAAAAAAAACAAACCCGTCGCCGTCCAGCCGATTCCAGCTCACAGTGACCCTATAGGACAGAGTAGAACTGCCCCTAGGATTGCCAAGGAGCGGCTGGTGGATTCGAACGGCCAACCTTTTGGTTAGCAGCCGAGCTCTTAACTACTGTCCACCAGGGCTCCAAAGATATCTTCCGTTACTAAAAATAAAGAAATCATTACCTAATAGATGAAAATCAGGCCTCTTTAAGGATACGAGAAAATAATAAAAGAGACTTTTGTGGGTATTACTTTAAAAAAGGTTTCTAAGTACGTACAGATTTTAAGCCAAAAAAAACTTTATACCCAAGGACTCTTTCAAAAATGATCTAAAAGAAATCCCTTCCCCTACCCTACCTCTCCCCTGGCCCTGCTGTATCAACTCACTGGGCAGGGCAGGGACCGCTTCCTGTAACCAGCGGCTTGTGATCGGTGGCGTGCCGGCAGTCTTCTCTCATCCTCCTCTGTCCAGCTGTGACCCCAGAAGCTGCTCATCCATTTGGCAAAAGATACATCATCATCATCTTCATCATCTTTGTGCTCCATGTAAAGGTGATTCAAAATGCTGAAGGCCTGTCCCTAAATCTGGCAGGGAGAAGTATCCAACAGGGCTGACTTGATGAAACCCAGGATCTCCTCCAAAAGACAAAATAAAAGTGGTATTTTCAAATAGGCTTTGATAATGGGATCCCTAAAGGAGAAAGATTTACTAAACAACCACTTCACCATCAGGCAGCCTCAGGCAATGTCTATTTATAAATTGTGCAGCCCACATTCCCTTCCCCCTTGTCTCTTTAAATTGAGAGGCTTTTTAATCTTTCCATTGCTCGGGCTTGTATCTCGCAGCCTAAGGGTGGGAAGCACAGCCCACTGCCTGGTTTTCTCTGTGCTTTGCTGCCGTGGCATCTCCAGCTGTCAATGATGATGGAGCACGACCCTCACATTCTGCCTGTCAGCTCGAGGCCAACTCTAAAATGGGGCCACATACCAGCGTCAGACTGACCGCAGCCTGTAAGGTGGCCAGCCGTTGGGACAGTCTATGCACAGGAAAGGATATGCAGATTAGACCCTCCTAAACATAAAATTGATGTTCTTATTGCTGCTATGTGTGTCGAGTTGATTCCGACTCATAGTGACCCTATATGACAGAGTAGAACTGCCCCATAGGGTTTTCCAAGGCTATAATCTTTATGGGAGCAGATCACCAGGTCTTTTCTCCTAAGGAGCTGCTGGTAGGTTCGAACTGCCCACCATTTGGTTAGCAGCCAAGTGCTTAACCATTCTGCCACCAGCGCTCCTAATAAAATTGATTGTGATGTAAAATCCAGCTCCTAGAGCAAAGGAAGCAGTTTTTCTTTTTTTATTGAAGTGTTAGTTACATAAAGCAAAATGTATATGTATATCCCTGTGTAACCACCACCCGGATGAAGATATAGAACATTTCAGCACCCCAGGAGAATCCTTCTTCTCCCTTCCAATCCACATTCCCTCCAAAAGATAACCTCTTCTGACCTCTGTCACCATAGATTGGTTTTGCCTGTTTTTAAACTTCCTATTAATAGAATTCTGTGATATGTATTATTTTGTGTCCTTCAACATTATGTCAGTGAGATTTATCCTTGTCTTTGCAGCTGCAGCAGTTTATGCTGTGTAGGATTGCATTGTATGAACCTACCACAATTTTTTTTTAATCCAGTCTACTACTGATGGTTATTTTGGGCTGTCTTTGGTTGCTTCCAGTAGGGGCTATTATAAATAAAGCTTCTATGACTATTACAGTCCCTGTCTTTTAGTGAGCATGTTTTTCAAAGTAAGGGAGAATGTTACCTTTATTGAGTCCCTACTCTGTGAATTTTACATATTTTTTTTGTTTGTATAATATTTATAAGAATCCTGTGATTGAGAGATTTTTATCAATATTTGCTGTTGTTGTTGTTAGGTGATGTTGAGTCGATTTTGACTCATGGGAACCCAGTATGACAGAACAGACATTCTTTATAGGGTATTCTTAGCTGTAATATTTACAGAAGAAGATCATCAGGTCTTTCTCCTGCAGAGCCACTGGGTAGGTTCAAATTGCCACCTTTTGATTAGCAGCTGAGTGCTTAACTGTTTGTGCCATCAGGGATCCTACCAACATTTTAGAGATAAGAAAATTCAGATTCAAATAGACTGTCACTTGCCAAAGGTGAAACGTCTGCTAAGCAACACAGCCAAGTTTGAAGCCAAGAGCAGAATAACAAAGGCCACAATAGATAAGTGGTAACTTTGGTGAAGGGTAAGACAGTACACAATACTGGGGAAGCCAGCCCAACTTGTTCAAGGCAAGGTCATGGAAGCTCCATAGACAGATCCAAACTTCTGAGGGACTGAATTGCTGGGCGGAGGTCTCTGGGGACCATGGTCTCAGGGAACATCTAGCTCAACTGGCATAACACAGTTTATAAAGACAATGTTCTACATTCTACCTTGGTGAGTAGCGTCTGGGGTCTTAAAAGCCTGTGAGCAGCCATCTAAGATACTCCACTGGTCTCACCCCTTCAGGAGTAAAGGAGAATGAAGAGAACAGGATACAAGGAAAAGATTAGTCCAAAGGACTAATGGACCGCAACTACCATGGCTTCCACCAGTACAACTAGATGGTGCCCAGCTACTACCACCAACTCCTCTGAGTGGGATCACAACAGAGGGTCCTGAACAGAGCTGAAGAAAAATGTAGAACAAAATTCTAACTCACAAAAAAAGACCAGATTTACTGGCCTGACAGAGACTGGAGAAACCCCGAGAGTATGGCCCCCGGACGCCCTTTTAGCTCAGTAACGAAGTCACTCCCGAGGTTCACTGTTCAGCCAAAGATTAGACAGCCCCATAAAACAAAATGAGACTAAAGGGGCACAACAGTCCAGGGGCAAGGACAAGAAGGCAGGAGGGGACAGGAAAGCTGGCAATAGGGAACCTGAGGTTGAGAAGGGACAGTGTTGACTTGTCATGGGATTTTTAACCACTGTCATAAAACAACGTGTGTACTGTTTAATGAGAAAATATTTGTTCTGTAAACCATCATCTAAAGTACAAATATAAAAAAAAAAAAGAATAATAAAGTCCAATCTCTTTCCATCTTTCTACCAGTAGTCCAAAAGTCCTCTGAGAAATCCTGCATTTTTAATTAGATGGATTCTTGGCCATTTGCCATATGAAAATTCTTCCTTCAGCTGCAAAAATATGGTCTTGGTGACTGTGACCAATGTTTCTCAAGCGAGATGCCATAACTCATGTGTTTCTAAGGAAAAGTAACCAAAGCATAAAGTCACTTGCAACATTTTTATTTCTTGCTTTAAGTCATGAAAAATGCATGCTTGCTACTTTGTAATATTTCTGTTGAGAGAATGGAGGAAGACTGCTTGTTGATGACCCTGATGAAAAAGAAGAAGTTATAACTGGATGTCATCGCTGTCAGTTATCTCTGTTATTAAAGAAAGAAATCAGATAGCTTCCCTTGGGGGAGAAGGACCAGGTCCTGCCCGTGAAACTTGATTATGGATGAACTTATTTTCTATTCCTCCTAAGACAGGAGCATCCTTTCTTCTGATTTTCTGGAGCAATGGAGGCTAGATGAACCCCTGACACCATTGCCCTGAGATAATCTTTAAACCTTAAACCAAAACAAATTCCCTGAAGTCGTTTATAAACCAAACAGTAGTTTAGCTTAACGAGTAAAGAAGTTCTGCCATGAGCATTATGGTTTTTTAAGATCTATCTATAGGTAATCAAACTGACAACAACTGGAAAGATTAGATAGGAATGTTAGCGGTCAGTGAGCCTATGTCAATGGTGGAGGAACAACTCAGAAAAGGAGGGGGAGAATGGTTGCATAACTCAAAGAATGTAATCAGTGTCACTGAATTGTACACGTAGAAATTGTTGGATTGGTATATGTTTTGCTGTGTATATTCTCAACAACAAAAACAACAATAATAAAAATCAAAACCCATTGCTGTCAAGTCAATTCTGATTCATAGTGACCCTATAGGACAGAGTAGAATTGCCCTGTAGGGTTTCCAAGGAGTAGCTGTTGGATTCCATCTGCCTACCTTTTGGTTAGCAGCCAAGCTCTTAACCACTGTGCCACCAGGGCTCCCTACAACAATAAAATAAAATAATTTTAAAAAATAATAAAGGCTCATTCTCTGATGCGACTATCAGCTCTGTATTTCTAATGCAGGGACCAACTGCATCCTAACTTGTGATTCCTATGGAGGAGGGCACATCACAGGGAGTGCGACATCTCTACCCACTCATGACAGGTGGGTCTCTTGACCTCCTCTCAGGGACATCTCATTGGTACTGACTTGTATTTGGCTTTCCAGATTAGTTGAAATTTGTAACAATGGACTGATAGCCTGAGTCTACATCCGTCGCCTTTCTCCTGGTACATACATATCTTAGTAAGGCAATTTGATTATAAAATGAAACTGTCAAACTGGGATTCATCTTTTCTAGACTGCTCACGGAAAAAAAAAAATGACCAGAATGGAAGAAGTGAGGAGTTATGTAAACCCTTTCCGAAATTTTTTTGAGAATTCAAGATTTTATCCTATCCAATTACTGAACATCATTTGCCTTTTTGGTTAAGTTATGTAAAGAATGCTTACGTATACAAATGCTTCCATTGGGAGCCGCGGCCGTCCAGCACCATGCAGTTGCAAACTTTCAAGCTATACTGCAACTTCAAACAGAGTGGAAGAGGTCCGTCCAACTTCTCCCAAGCCGCCTCCTACCGATATCCCGGTGATAACAGAAAGATGCAAGGCTGAGAAGCAGCTTCCTGTACTGGATAAAACCAAGTCCCTTCTGCCAGATCACGCACTCGTCAAAATAATTGGAAGACACTTACAGCTGAACGCTAACCAAGCTTCCTTCTGCATGAAAGTGAGAAGGACGAACATGGATTCCTGTATGTGGCCTATGCCTCTCAGGGGATGTTTGGAATGAGATCATCCGTGTAACACTAGCAAAAGGTACCTAATCTACAATTTTTTAAACTGTTACTAAGGGGGGGAAAAAAAGGGTGTTACCAGCTGAGATTGACAAGTTCATCTAATTACAGGTCATCAGAACAGTAGTGTTCCCACCTAGGAGTTTTAGGAAGTTATTTTTTTATTTCAAGCAGCAAAACTGAGCTCCAAATGAGCACATTCAGTTTCAGAAAACTATTATTATTTAACCTAGGCTATCTTGTTTTCAAGTTTTAGAAGTTTAAAAATTAAATACTTGGCATTTTAAGTTGCCAATAAAATAGACCTTGGAGTTTTTTGTTTTTGTTTTTAAATATTTTTGAACCTCTCGCACCAAACGTTTCCAGATGAAATGTTGATGATGTGAGAATAAAAAATGACTGGGGGGAAAAAAAACAGAAAGTCACGATTACCCAATAAGACACACTGATTTTGTAGCAACTGAGAAAAACCAAAACTCTGGCACTGTGGAAATGCAGGAGGAGGAGGAGGGCATTAACATCTTTGCTTTCAGCACTGCTCCTGAAAGCT